AGGGTGTGGAAATTAATAGTTCCATGGCAGCAAAAAACAGGCATCCTAGGGGCTGGGAAGGCGGCTCAGTGGTAAAGCGCTTGCCTTGCATGCATGAGGCCCTGGGTTCGATTCCTCAGCACCACATAAGCAAAAAGAAAAAAGCCGGAAGTGGTGCTGTGGCTCACGTGGTAGAGAGCTAGCCTTGAGCTGAAGAGCTGAGGGACAGTGCCCAGGTCCAGAGTTCAGGCCCCACGCCCGGACCCCTCCCCCCCCCCAAAAAAAGAAAGCCATGCTATAGTTTGCCCATTAAAGCACAGGAGTGACTACTTTGATAGGCATTCCTATACAACTAACTTTGGAATAGTTATTTTTCTATCTTATCAGCTTGCTGTAATGAATACTGAAGATGATCACCTTCCTATACAACTAACTTTGGAATAGTTATTTTTCTATCTTATCAGCTTGCTGTAATGAATACTGAAGATGATCACCTTCCAAAGAATGCAGCTGAGCCGGGGCTTCTTGCTTCAGAGGTCACTGTTGCCTTTGGGCTGGTGTTGAAGCAATTTGTCATTGTGGGGAGTGTGTGGTGGAGCAAAGCTGGTGGCTCAGAAGCCAAAGGAGATAGAAGGAGAGCCAGAATCCCAATATCCCCTGCAAGTCACTGTAATAACTTAACCCCATCCCTTAAGTTCCATCTCTTAAGGGGTCCGGCATCTTCCAATAGTGCTATGACCGAGGGCCCAGACCTTCCAGATTGGAGCTGTAGCATTTCTATGTAGTTGAGTTTGCTGTTTGAATCCTCTGCAGCGTTCACAATTCCTCCAGTGACCTTCCATTTTTCTGGTCATGTGACTCCCCAAAGACCTCTGATCATGTCACAGGTGGTCCGGATTCCTCTCTTCTTCCCCTCCATTTCTTCTACAAGCATTTGTCACAAGCCATCAGGCAGAGCCACTGGGATGGTGCAGCAAAAGAGAAATTTTTTCCCCCATCACACTAATGCATTGGGGTGGGGGAGAAATGTCAGCAGACAAATACATCAATGATGTCGCTTCTCTGCTGATGACATATGCTATGCAGAATAAACCAGGGAAGAAGAATAGAGGGCGGAGGAGAGGCAATTTTAAATAGGTGATGCTAAGGGGGCTCATTAAAGAGGAGCAATTGAAGAAGAGTGCAAATCACATAAATATAATTTTAAAAAAGTTTGCTGATGACTCCCCCCCACCCCCGCTTTTGACTAGGTTTTTAAATTGACAAGCAAAGAGTTTATATGTATTTATGGTATACAACATGGTGTTTTGAAATATGTATGTATTATGGAAGGGCTAAATGAGGATAATTTACATATTTACATATGCATTGCCTCTTTATACTTAAATCATCTACTTGCAGTGAGCACACTTGAAATCTACCCTAGTAGCAGTTTTCAAGTACACAGTAGATTGTAATTAACTCTAGTCACCATGTTGGACGGTGGATCTCTTATGCTTGGTTTTCCCCAACTAAAAAAAATTTTTTTTTTTTTTTGGGTCGGGTCGTGGGGCCTGAACTCTGGGCCTGGGTGCTGTCCCTGAGCTCTTCAGCTCAAGGCTAGCACTCTACCACTTGAGCCACAGCACCACTTCCGGCTTTTTTCTTTTTGCTTATGTGGTGCTGAGGAATCGAACCCAGGGCCTCAGGCATGCAAGGCAAGTGCTCTACCACTGAGCCACCTTCCAAGCCCCTCCCCAACTAAAATTTTGTGTTTAAGGTCCACTGTCCACTCACTCCAGAGCTGGCCAGGAAATCACTATGTAGTCTAGGCTAGTCTTGCACTCATAATCCTCCCTCAGCCTCTGGTGTGCTGGGGATTATAGGTAGGTATTGCTGTACCCAGCTAGAACTGATAAGCTGGTATTCATTCTTTAGAATTCTCCAGTGTTTCGGATCTCAGAGCTTTTCAGAGTTTGGAATATATGTATTATGTGTATTGACTTAGCACTTCTAATCTGAAAGTCTAAAAGGGAAAATGCTTGGTATCTGATACTTTTTAAGATCAATGACACTACTCAAAAAGTTGCAGGTTTTGGAGCATTTGGGATTTGGAATAAAATATGTTTTAGAGGAGGATTGTTCAACATATATCCTTGGCTTCATTCCTGATATTTGTAATATGTGCCCCATCTTTTCTTGTTTCTTTCAGTCTTTTTTTTTAGTCCAAGACTGAGATATTGACAGCAAAAAGAAAACCAAGGTGGGATTGGAGCATGTCTCAGATAGTAGAGCAAAAAGTATCAGATACCAAGTTCAAGTCTTGGTCTCAGATAAAACAAAAACAAAACAAAACAAAAAACACACCAAAAACAAACTCCTCCTCATGTTTGTTAATTGAGGCTCAAAGCTCCTAATTAGTTGGATATATCTCGTTATCCGGTCTTTCCAACTTGGTTTTATATGGAGTGCATAGGATTTTAAGTTTGCTTTAGTGATGACAATGGGGTGAAGTACGTTGACTTCTTCTTCCTGTGAGAGGCCTTCTATTGGTGATCCTTCTAGGGTTGTAATGTTCAATGTGAGGCCTGCTGTAGTAGCTGCATAATGTCTCCCAAATGTGTGCGTGCTCACATAGTTTATCCAGAAATGGAAACTTTGCAGAAGTGGTTGTCCTTGATATGGGGACATTGTCTGGCATTATTTCATGGGCCCAGAACAAGGTCAAAGTCCTTAGAAAAGAAGGGTACAGGTGGAGTTGATTGGGGAGAAGCAATGGAGTAAGGGGGGCCCATGCACTTTGAAGGTGGGGGCAATGGTCAAGAAGCCATGGAGTATGGCAAACAGGAAGAGTGGATAAAAGCAAGGGAAGAGATTGTTCCCGCAGAGCTTCCAAAAGGAACCAACCCTGCCTACACCTGGCTTTTGGCGCAGTGAAACCGCTCACAGACATCCAAACTCCAGAACCAGAACATGAGCTGGTATTCTTTTAAATCACTGTGTGTGTATGATTTTTTTTTAAAGTGGCCGTAAGAAATGAATACACTTTTGTAGAAACAGTAAATACATTCAGTGGGATGTGCAGATCTTAATTAATTAGTTAATTAATTAATTTTATGCCGGTCAGAGGGATTGAACTCAGGGCTTGGGTGCTGGCCTTGAGCTTTTCCTGCTCAAGGTTTACACTCTACCACTTGAGCCACAGCTCCACTTCCAGCTTTTTGGTGGTTAATTGGAGATAAGACTCTCACAGACATTTTCTAGCTTTGAACCTTGATTCTCAGATCTCAGTCTCCTGAGTAGCTAGGATTATAGGTGTGAGTCACCAGTGCCCGGCTCAGAAGTACAGATCTTAATGATGTGCGTGGCTATATTCTGAACTTTCTTATTCATCAGACTTTCTAATTTGAAGTATTTGACGTGGTAGAGTCGTGTGATCTAAGTATTATTTAAGGAAGGCTGGATTGCCAGCCTATGTGAGCTGAATCAGATAGATGGAGATATGGGAGTCAGAGAGGCTAAAAAGGAGACTGCAAT